AATAAATTAATAAATAAAATTACATTACAATATCACTCGCCGGAAAAATGGATCCCAGACTTGGACGGTCTGTTAGTACAATTAACCGCACAACAAGACATTTTATTTGATAATTTTAAGAAATAATCACGAAAATAACCCATAGACTGAATAAAACAAAAGCAGAAACACGGCAGAGATGCCAAGTTCAGCGGCTGATAGAGACAGCAAGGTCAATCCACCTGTCACTCAAGTGGCCATGCCCTTAATTATGCAGAACTTTAAGGCTTAATGTAAACGGATGAGTTATAAAATAATTCACCCCCCTCACAGTTGTCATGAAGGGCAAAATTAGCTATATAGACCAAAATAATTTTTTGAACCAGGCTGTAAACATGTTTTTTTCTGCTGTAAAGTTAGGCATTTTAACATGGGGAGTCTATGGGATTGACTCCCTTTTGCAGCCAGCCTCTAGCGGCCAGTTGACGAATTACAGTTTAAGTCACTTCCTTGTTGGTTTCACGAGAGAGAGCAGGAGGTTGCCGCTCGGTAGGGGCAATTAGTCATGACCTCTCTTATGTAGGATTATATTTTGGATTATCCAAATTATTTTATGGATGCTGAATTTGTCCTTTCTGTGAAACAAATTTACCTTTGGATTTTAATTAAGACACCTTGACCTTGAGTTGGACACCCCTGTTTTTGAGTATTAAAATCATGCAGTTATCGCAAGCCATCACGATATGGATACTGTGATATGTATATTTGTGATATTTCAATAATTGAAATGTATTGTACAGTCAAATACACAGTAAAAACACAAAACACAGTCAATTTTGATTTCATGTGGGCTAGAATGATATGACATATGATATACAGTACATACACTAGTTGACCTAGATCATTGTGGCTTATCAACAAAATAAACAAGGAACAAGTTAATAATAGTTAATAATTTGTTAAATTAATAAACTTACTAATAATAGTTATTAATTAATTAATGATAAAGTTAATAAGTGAAATAAGCACAAATCTCACCACATCCTGCTGGATCTTCACTCTGACCTGATTGGCTCTTCGTCTCAAACTTTCTATTCGCTCCTTTAGTGAAGGGGTGGGGTTTCGAGACTGTTCCTCCAGAAGGTTCTGTACAGTGAGGGCAGCAAATGTATTTTATGATGGGTTTAAATATGACGTGACAGCACACACGTGTTAGAGTAACACTGAACGCATACCTGTAGCTCTGCCTCCTCCTGCTCCAACATCTTTCTGAGGATGTCCGTGGCGTTTTTCTGCGCCTCAGGGTCCTGAAAATGAAGGAGAACAATATTAAAGTGATGAAGGAATTTACTAATGGAAGCATCTGTAGGGCCCTATAAAATCTGTCTTATTTTCTGATATTATTGATCTTCTCAGAAAAGAAGGGAGCAAACTCATTGCATTTGCTCTCGGAGAGCATTTGACTGGGAATCTGATTTGGAGGGTTAGTTAGTCTCTCAACAGTAGCATAAAGAGTGCAGGTGTTGTTTAAGTTACTGTTTATAAGGTTTGAGAAGAAGGTCTGTCTAGCTGTGCCTAGTTCCACACTGAAAGCTTGAAGGCTGTCTTTATAGATGCTATAGTGAATTTCAAGTTTCATCTTCCGCCACATCCGCTCAGCTTTTCTGCATTGTCTTTTCATACTTTGTACTGCTGTTGAGTTTCTCCAAGCTAATTTTTGTCTGCCAGTCTTCTTCCTGACTTTCAAAGGAGCAATATCATCAATAACATTCTTAACTTTTGAGTTAAAGGAATCAAGGAGAAGATCAACAGAGTCTGCAGATATGCTTGGTGTTAAAGATATAGCCTCCATAAATAGCACACTAGTGTTCTCGTTAATGCATTTCTTTCTGACAGAGACAGATCTAGATTCAGTGGTAGCAGAGATCAGTATATCAAAGAAAATACAGAAGTGATTGGATCAGTGCTATGTCCTTAATTACAATGGATGAAATATTTAGACCCTTACTGATAAGTAAATCTAGAGTGTGTCCACATGCCATGATCTCCAGCTGGAGTGGCCATGAACTCCAACAGAGGGCACTTGCAATCCACCACTGACTCTTGCCACTCTACCCCGGACTCCATTTCCCATAACCCCAGCCTAGGAACTCATTATCTGACTCCACCTGTTTCCAATCAGGAAGACTATAAAGGATGTACTCACACACACTCACTTTGCTGAATATTGTTAGCCTATAACCTTTTCATAGTTTCCGTGTTGCCTTGCCTTGCCTTCATGTTTCGATCCTTGTACTGTTTATCTAGTTTTTGATAATTTGCTGCCTGCCCTGACCTTTGCCTGCTGTTTGGATTACTCTTTTGCCTTGCCTCTGCCATTGTCTTTGCTGGTGTTTTGACCCTGACCGTTTTTGACTACATTCTTAATAAAGCCTTGCGTTTGGATACTCGACTCAGTTGTCACGCCTCGCTACATTACACCACAATTGTGTGTGGGTCCATGCACACACTGATTTAAATCTAAAGTATTTTATAATGGTTATGATTTATTTTGCTTTACACAGCAAACCCCACAGAGTTAAATTAACCTCATTGTTTAGTAACCTCATTGAATATTTTAATTTATATTCAAATCTTTGATCAAGTGAGTGTGGTGTAATTATTATTTTTTGGATTCTGTTCAGACACACAGACATCAAGAATCAGCGTATGAATCTCAACAATTGTAACAATTAGCAAAGCGTTTCATGCCGTAATACATGCTGGGTGCCACCATAGTACAATACTCATCCATGACTTCCAGCATGCATTGCAAAATAAAGTATGTAGCTGAGTGGTCTTGCTATTTTTTTAAATCTGCTTTTAAATGTCAATTTTGATCGAATTTAAGGTTTTCACAAAAATGAGTTCATTAAACCCTTGTCTAATGATCCCAATGCTCCAAATAGTAATTAAACATCTAAAATTATATTTTTTTGTGTAATGAATCCGGTCCCTGTCATTCCTCCCGCTCGCCACCAGTAGTCTCCATCACCTTTTCATTCTGGACTCCATTTCCCAGAATCTCATACCTAGGAACTGATTACAGACTAACCTGTTTCCCATCAGGAGGACTACTTAAGTCGCACCCTCACATACACACACATTGCAAAGTATTGTTTGTTATTGTTAAGCCTATTTCCAGTATGCGCCTCAGGCTTGCTCATCAACCCGGAACTAAAGTTAGATTCAGTTCGATTTGTGACCCGGCTCGACCGGTTACTTCCTGAGAACCAGCTCAAGAGAACGATTCGTTCAAGAACCGAACATCACTAAATTGAACCAATTGCTTCGCGAAATGATTCATTGTTTCGAAGCGCTCGAAACACCACACACTGGTGATGCCTGCTGGTCAAAACTGTGTAAATGCAACAAAAAATCAGGCCAAAACATGCATAAAAACATTTTACAAAAAACATTTTACAAACCCATTGCAAATGTTTTACTGAAAGTATAATACATTAAGGGCTTGTTTTGTTATGGAGAGCTTGTCTAAACAGGCCAATAAGAGACCGTTAACTACTACTCATCCTTTTAATTAAAAGCGGCCATCACTAGTGTCTCGACCTTGATCTGTTTTCCATGTATATCTGATTGTTTGCCGCCTGCCCTGACCATTCCCTGTTTTTGGAATGCTCTTTGCCTTGCTCTTATTGATGTTGTTTTACCCTACCTGTGTTTTTCTACGCTCTTGTCAAATAAAGCCTGCAGATGGACTCTGTTGTCACACATGCACTATGTAACAGTTTGTATGTTTTCTGAGAGGTGTACCTTTTTCTCTGCTCGCTTCTTGATGACTGGCACTTCCCCTCAGCACAAGTTTGGTATAATTGTAAAGTGCAGCTCCAGCTTCGTGAATTTTCATAGCAAATTCTCAATGGTCTGAACCAGTTAAATGTGATGTTCAAGCCCATGCTGATGAAAACGATCGCGCTGTCTGACACATCAAAAGCGTGCGCATAAAAACGCGTCTCTCAAACAGTGTGCGATCCCAATATACGGAATTACAGCATTTCAAAATATCTGTTTTGGCAAGTATTCATGCATACTCTTGTTATGTCTTAAGTGAACGTTTAGTTAACTACATCTAATGTGTTGTGACAGTGCCACCTAAGGGACATGTTTTACCACTCTGTATATAGCAGTATATTGGTGTATCAGAGTTTTAATAGGTTTTACATGTTTCCTTGTCCATTTTACTCCTTTTAAATGTGTGTGTTTGTCTTTAAGAACTGAGACTCTCCTGTCATGTGAGCGATCACATGACAGGTAGCAGAAAGTAGCCTCTCCATATAAAGGAGCAGTGTGGCTTAAGATAGAGGCCTGACACCTCACCCAGGAAGCAGGTCGCTATGTGTTTATTGCCCGTGTTGTGAAGGAACGCCTTGTGGATTTGCTTACCAACCAGGACTATTTTTCACTTGCACTTTGGAGTATCACATCTACTGGATTGTTTATACACGGGTGGACACTTTTGGACTATTACGCACGGGTTGCTGTTGGACTGTTGTAGGGTATGAACTGAAAGACTCTGTTATCAGTCCCCAATTCTCAATGTATACCGTTTTGTTTTAGTTGTGTCATTGTTTTGTGTAAATACACTACTGTTGTTTTATATCTGCCGTCTTGCTGTCTTTTAATCTGCTCACCCAACATCTAAACATTTTAAACAATTCTTTGTTTTAAATTGTGTATCCTCAGCCGATAGGGCAGAGTGCTACAGTGTAGCCTAGCATTCTATTAGATCTGTGCATTACAAGTAGGTCTTAATATAGGGCTGATTTCTTTTTTTAAATTTTCCTTGATAGGACAGTGGAGATTTGATAGGAAGCGAGTGGGAGAAAGCGCAGGGAATGGGATCGCGAAAGGTCCGCAAGGCAGAATTCAAGATAGCGCTGCTTTGTTTGTCTTGCCGTCTGTCGCTGTGTCTGGTCTTTGTTTAATTTTCTCTGTTTCTCTGTGACCAAGACATGGAACCTTCAACCTTCGTCTATGATCGGCAATTATTGCTAGAAATTAGAAACTTGGCTATTAACATGGACAACAACATAAGGAGTAATTTTCATTCACACTCCTCACCGTTCCAGATGAGTATCCCTGATCACCTGTGCTGGCGGCGCATTGCTTTTCCACGAAAGAAACGCCACAGGAGACGTGGTAAATGAGGTGGTGTTGCTAGCAGACTAAAAGCCGGATTGGATATTTCGATTTCCGCTATCGTCGCCGTTGGATTCGGCCTATCATCCCTGGCTCTTTTGATGTGCCTATGCTGTGCCTTCTTCCCCGATTTTGCCGGAATGGAGTGCATCCACAGCTTTTGCGCCAGCTTAACAGGGGACTTCTAACAGCGAGTGATGCACCGCCGCTCAGGATGGCCTTACTCAACGTGCAGTCTTTGGTAAACGACCTTTATTTTACCCAGCTTTTTTATATGTTCCTGTGGTTCAGTGGTAGAGCATTGCGTTAGCAGCGCAAAAGGTTGTGGGTTCGATTCCCAGGGAACACACATACTGGTAAAAAATGTATAACCTGAATGCACTGTAAGTCGCTTTGGATAAAAGCGTCTGCCAAATGCATAAATGATCAAATGATAAATGATAAAATGAATGATATCACGGGAACTGGATTTCATGTTCATGACGGAAACTTGGACTAAAGTGGGGGATTTAAGTCCTTTCTCTGAACTTGTTCTGCAAACCTGTTCATTTTTTTGCTCTCCGAGATCATCTAAATGCGGTGGAGGACTGGCAGCTGTTTTTAAAAATAGCTTTCACGGTCACGTTATTCCTACTAATGCCTATGAGAGTTTTGAGGTTCAATTATTCGTAATGGACTTGGCAAATCCTGTACTGTGTGCAGTTGTCTATTGACCTCCACAGCCTAACAATGCTTTTTTGAATGAATTTGCAGAGTTTATGGGGAATGTTGCAACAATGTATGAAATTATTTTATTACAGAGTGATTTTAACATTCATGTTTGTTGCCGTGGTAAACAGTTATCCAAGGACTTTTGCAATCTTATGGACTCTTTTAGCTTCTCTCAATGGGTGCGAGGTCCGACGCATAATCATGGTCATACCTTGGATTTGGTTTTCACACATGGTTTCTCTATTACGAACTTGGAGATTAAGGATTAATTTTTCGATCATAAATCTGTGACATTTGCAACTACTCTTCCTTGCAGATCTAGCAAAGCTCCTGCCCAGGCCCGATGTGTTTGTTATTTCTCTCCGACAGCCTGTGAGGATTTTGCGGCTGCATATACGGC